ACATTGTTCAACGCGTGATTGTTTCACTTATGATGATTCTTATGGGAAATATTTCCCCCCTCGTGCTAGGAAAATTTCATATCATAATTCTGAATTCTTGAAAATTGTCAAGCCTCAAGAATTACAAAAAAAAAAAAAAATCTTCGAATTCGCAGCTCCTTTCAAAAGGATCTATTTATTTGTTGCATTTTTCCTAAAATTTAAATATTCATATAAAATTAAGAAATATAAATTTCTCAATACGTTTATTACACGTATCTTACACCAAATACATATTTTCTATGTATAATTTGCATTATGATTAGCCGGCCGTACAAGAATCTCATTTAAATTTTCCACGATTGCATCATAAAACGAAAACTATTTATCTCGACACCTATAAATAACGCATACAGTATCTGCAGAAAAAGCATATATACAGTTGGCACATAATTTTCCACACATCTGTTATACATAATAATGCAGAAAAAATTTACAAAACTGAGGAGTGACTTAACTTTTTAAATTAATATAAACAAAAGTATGTCACGAATTGAACAACTCGATATACTTTTTTTCTTAATAGCTCTATGTACTTCTTTCGAACGCTGTACCCGCAACACACCTTACGCGTTACACAATCGTTACAAGAATCAGCAAGATCGAAAGTCCACGCAATTCCGCTCGTAACGCCCACCACGTCCATTGACATTTCCATCCGTATGTGTCGATTGACGCCAGCCAGGGTTGACGCGCGCGATGTCGCGCAATGATTTATCGAGCGTGTCCACGCATACCGATCGTCGTCTTAGAACTTCTCTAATTGCCTTTGTCACGGAGGAGGAACGTGTCGATCCCGCGTGACCATCCACTCGAAAGAACCGACGATCGACTATTCTAATCGCCGCTCAACTTCTTATCCGCGTCGTTAAAATGCATGAGGATCAGGGATTGGATTAAAGAACGATCGATACGGGATATATACAGTTTGATTGCATGCATACGTATATATGTATATATCCGCGTTTTTTTATATTTTATTTTTTCGTCACAACGTATTTTCCTCGTCACAGCAATAAGCCTTACAAAATTGAGATATATAGTATCCGCGTTTTTTTATATTTTATTTTTCGTCACAACGTATTTTCCTCGTCACAGCAATAAGCCTTACAAAAATTGAGATATATATTATCCGTTCGTTTTTTATTATATTTATTTTTCGTCACAACGTTATCTTCTTCGTAACAACAATAAGCCTTATAAATTGAGATATATAGTATCTGTCGTTTTTATATATTTTTGTTTTTCGTCACAACGTATTTCCTCGTCACAGCAATAAGCCTTACAAAATTGAGATATATAATATCCGCGTTTTTTTATATTTTATTTTTCGTCACAACGTCTTTTCCTCGTCACAGCAATAAGCATTACAAAATTCATAATCAATGAATTCGATTGCATGCATATATATATCCGCGTTTTTTTATATTTTATTTTTCGTCACAACGTCTTTTCCTCGTCACAGCAATAAGCCTTATAAAATTGAGATATATAATATCTGCGTTTTTTTATATTTTATTTTTCGTCACAACATCTTTTTCTCGTCACAATAAGTCTTACAAAATTGAGATATATATTCGCGTTTTTTTATATTTTATTTTTCGTCACAACATCTTTTCCTCGAGTTTAAAATACGTAGATTAATTATGCATGTATTGTTCCACGATAGTTCGCGTTTTTCAAAGATTTCGATTCTCGGTGAAGGGAGGAATGTCTGGGTGGAGGCGTGGTGGAAGTATCGAGTCATGAATGAACACGTAACGCCACACGTTGTGGCGCATCGATCGATATGCGTGTAAGTTGGATATATATACATATATACATATATATATAGGCGTTTGAATAAAGACTAAGACGGAGGAGAAGATCGGTCGATCGCTTAGTATGGATTTACACGCGGTATTACGTATGCGCGGGGAGTTGAATGTTACGAGCGTTATGACTCGTGGCTGTCATAAGACGTTGTCCCATGCATGGCTTCCCCTTCGTATCGTTCCTCTCCCGCCTTTCACATCTCTCCTTCCTTTTGTCCCTTCGTTTGTCCCGAATCGTATCGAATATCATCTTAGGATCATAGTATTTTTATCTTTAATTATCGGTTTTTTTTTCTTATTGATTCGTTCTTTGAATTCAAACAGCACACGAATTTTCTTGTGAATCCGTGATGTTACAATCGCAGGTTTTACCAATCATCCTCGTTTTTCTATTAATAGAAATATTATAATTCGGATTGTACATTTGATACATCGTTTTTTCTTTATTAAATTTTTTTATCAATGATATTGATCACGTTTTTGATATTTATAATGAAAAATTGGTCGAGCGTTAGGAAGAAAATTCATTGAAATAAATTATATCGCGCGATATAATTTATAGATAACTTATCGAAAGTGATAATGGATCGGAGAACTTTGGTTTTTGCGGGGAAAACTTTGATAGCGACGAAAGTGAAATTATAATACCTTCGCAGAAAGAAGATTGATCGTGGATTATCGTCTTCGGAAAATGTATATAAAAGTGGTTCAAACACACCATCCCTCGAGAGTACCTTGGCATAAACTTGTTTCTATAAAATTGAATAACTGCGTTCGTTTAATAAAATTTCCAATGTTTAACTTGTATATAAGATTTTCAAATATTAACGATATTAAAAACCTCGATTCGAACTTCGTTTTCGAAACGTTGCTCATAAATTTGTTTAACTCCTCTTAAAAATAAATATTACTTCACCTTACTTAAAATTTTAATCCGTCGCATTAAATAAACTTCCATATACTTCATCCCCAAAGTTTTCTATCAAAGAGAATTTGTAGAAAACTTTCCACAAATTTCCGCATTCTCAAATTATCAAAATCATAAAATCCCATCGAACGATTTTACCGAGTCTCCCCCATAATTCTCTAACCATAAACTTCCTTAAACTTCATCAGATCACGATTCTTCCAAACTTCGATCATCTTCATTCATCCCTTCATTCAATTTAAATTATTTGCATTTTTAAATCTGGAAAAAAGCGAGGCATAAAAATCGTTTGGATTCCATCGATCGATTTTTTTTTTTCTCTGAGAGAAGAAGAGAAAGAAAACATTTTATCGCGAATTTCGATGAACAGGGAGAGGGGAGGAGGAAACTTTGACATTTCGAGATCGATCAGAACGGGTTTTGTTTGAATAACTCAAGCGCGAATGTTTACTCGCGAACCGTTGTCGCGTGATACGATTACGTGGATGTAACGAGCATTACGTGCTCGAAGGAATATATTACGAGGTATATGGCTTCCCTTGTTTTCTTATTCTCCTCTTTGTTGAATGTATACTTTAACGCGTTTCTTTGGTTAGTCAGTTTCAGAGACGAGGGGGATTGGGATTTTCGTTGAAAGATTTGAATCGTTTTTTTAATATTAACGACACATTGATGATGTCGTTAAGATATCGTTATGATATCGAATAGAAGAAGGGAAGAAGAAGAAGAATTGAAGAAGGTGTTGGTCGATGATAAAATCAATTTCATTTCTTTTTTTTTTAATATTTTTATCGATTCTTTCTTAATTCTTTTTAATCAATATTCCTCCTAACAATCGATTCATTTAATCATCTATGTAATCCTTTCGTTGGCTGGATGATAAATTATACCGTCACTATACAGTGACTTAAAGTGTGCTCGCTTAAAATTAATCGAAGTGACGGATAAATTATTCTTCCAGATTACGGAAGATGTGTATAATGAAATCCCATAAAATGACATCGTTAAGTTTCATAGTCAATCACAACTTGCACTTTGAATAATGTCAAGCCTTGCCAGGCTTATAATTATATAAATCCTCTCAAGCATACGTGTACACGTATGTGCATCAAATAACGTCAGAAAAGGTTGGTGCAAGATTCGATATTAACATTCGTCGTGTTAAAAAGAGAATAAATTGAGAAGAAACGCGTGAGAGTATATTAATAGGAAAGAAAGAATCAAATCAAAAAATTATTATTAATATCGAATACGATCTTTTAGTGTTAAATATCAAATTTTCTATTAAATGCATAAACATCCGCAATTTGATTACTAACCGCGAAATTATATCTTGTTCAATTCGATTCATAGCGCGAGCCATAATATTATTTCTTTAATGGGATATTCTGGCGGGATGGTTAAATATTGTATTATCGTGATATAATCGGAGGAAATGTTTTAGATCGGATTCAGAGAAAATAATATCTATTGTTCGAACGAGAAGTTGTTGATGAAAAGAGGAAGCTCGATAATGAATTTCCATTTTATTCGATTATAGCGGATAATTTTCGAACCATTTCGTTGTATAACATGCTCGATTTAAACGAAAATTTAATTAGAAGTTAATCCAAATTTCGCGTATAAACGTGTTTTTCAAGCATATTTATGCCTCATAATCTGTATTATTTGTGTGTAATATTCATCGTATCAACGCGATATGTAATATAAATAAATCCATTACTGTTTATCGTCAAATATTTTTATTGCAATATTGCGATACGAAAGATATCAAAACTTGGATGCAACTAACTTGAGTGTTCAACTAATTTCAAAATATATAAAATTTTGCATTCGACTTCAAATAGAAATCACGATATTTAGAATAGTTTTTTGAAAATTAATTTTATCATCTATTGCTAGGAAAGGAATAAAATTCGATGAATTTAATTTCGATTAAATTACATCATTATCATTCGGTAAATAAGCGGTGTATAAACAATGACGGTACACGTAATACACAAACTTTTAATCTAATAAATTCGTTTCTACGTTGAAATTGTAATTTAAATAACACGATAATTTAAATTCGTTTACCAAAGAAAGTTTACCTTTATCAAACAAACCTTCCTAAATCTTTTTTTTTCGCGCGCGTTGTTGTTTTAAAATTTAAATCGTTCCCCCGTATTTTTTTGCGCACTTCAATTAACACTGCCCCGTTTCTTTTTTTTTTTCTCCAGAGCTGGAACTCGGTACACAATGCGTGGTCGAAATGTCCGGACAGCAAACCATCCTGCAGCATCCCACCACGATGGACAAGATCGAACGGTGAGTGAACTTTGGTAATTTTTTTTTTTTTCTTTTTCTTGAAATTTTTCTCCTTCCAATTCCCCTCGACGAAGAAGATTCATTCTCTTTTTCCCTCCCCTCCCTTTTTTTAATCTCCCTAGTCAAAGTTTCGCGATCCATTGGATCCTCGTCGTTCGGTTAAGTTTCAAGGCTCGAGACGATAAGATAGTAGGTGTCTCATGAAAGTCGAATGAGATACATTCCCAAGTTTTTATCTTTTAGCGTGGCCGAGGGGGATCCACGCTTCTTATCTCTTTAAATTTTCAGTTTCTCTTACAGTTTTTCCTTAAACTTAATCGAGGATTTAATATTATTTTTACTATTCCAATCCAAGATTTTGGGATTGATTTGCAGCATGGTACAATTATTGTATAATGAAAAGTGGATGGAAAGAGTATTGGATCAGGTATTTTCTTCAGAGAAAAATCACTGAGATTATTGAGTTATTTTGAGTTTGTAACAAATGATGAGAATCGTCAGGTTTAAAATTTATCAGAGACTGATAATCCGTTGTATCAGTCAATTATCGTGCAATGTTTTTAGATCGAAATTGTTAATGTAAACTTTTATTAGATACTCTTTTCACGTTTTGTTTAAAGATTGATAAAGCGTTGTTTTATCTGTATACATTATAGATTGGGATTGTTTGTTGTTCGAGGTAAAAATATTTTTTTAACATTCGTGCAAAGGAAATCTCGAGTGAATGCACCGAAATTGAACAACTTTTTTCGATATCTGCAATTTAGAAAAAAAATACGATTGTCGTAAGAAAAGATGATGGATGCTCCTTTTATTTCCAATCAACATAAGATAATTTGAATATAAAGAAACTTTTGTTTCTTTTTTTTCCTATGAAGATTATAAATATTATAAACGTAGCCACAATTTTATATACCTTGAAATCATTTAAAAAACAATCCATGATGAAATAAATAAAATTACTCGTTCGAACGATTAAAGAAGCTTTTATCCTTCTTACAAACATCATAGATACATGTTTCGTTCAATTTTATACCCGATTTAAATTAGAAGAGTGAAAATGCTTGCATGTATATTAGAATGTATAGACGATATTATCGCTTCGATAAAAAGGAATTATCGTATCGCCGCCATTTGTCAGATCACACAGTCTTATCAATGTAGATAGATAATATCCACGGTACGCAAACATCGAGCAGGAAATTCATAAAAGAATTCCAAAACGAATTGCGTTTATCGTCGATCGAAGATCGATTCTAAAACCTGGCCCTTCATTAAACCCTTTAATAATAACGCGTGCAAAAGAATGATGAATAATTAACGATCGATCGATTAAACGAAAAAGAAACAACGAGAGAGACACGTTATTAAAGCGAAGTAAAAAATGTTGAAAACGGGAACTAACGACGAGACAAAATGGAGGCGAGGATAGCCAATTTCCAATTCTCTTAAATCTTTTCCCTTTTTAGAAGACGAGTCGTCGCAAGAGTTTTTTTGATTACACGCCTCGAGGCGTGTCGTTTACGTGTGAAAAGATTCCTTTCCCTTTGAGAAGAGGCCGATCTATCGGAGAAAAAGGAACAATGAGCGCACGAGCGCTAAACACAAGAACGTGTATCCTTTTCTATTTTTTTTTAAACACCTTTTTGTTTGTCCGCCTTCTCCCTGTCTTTCTTTTTCCTCTTCCATCAATATTCGACTGCGTCGCTCTTCTCATTCGCTTATCGATTCCTCTTTCTTCTTCTTTCCTTTCTTTCCTTCACTCGAGCTGCGCTTGGCGCTCGCCATACGCGGTTTATTGGCTTTTCCTCCCCTCTTTTTCTTTTTTTAATCTCCTTTTTTTTTATCTACGTAACATCAGCGTAGAATTTCTCCTCTTCCGTCTTCTTTCTTCTCGCGCGATTCGAGGAGGATTGTCAATCGAGAGTTGTGCCGATCTTTGATTGGATCGTGTTATTATTGGAAACTGGAGGAATCTGGGCTGGTTGAGGGGACATATTCGGTTCGATGATTGATTTAAGTGGTTTTGTTTTCTGTTGTTTGGAAATAGATTAGGTTTGTAGAATTTAATTACTGTACACTGCTTCCTTTTCTCCTCTTCCTTCGAATAAGATCGAATTTATGCACAAGATATCCTCGAATATTTAATAAGAATCTTCATTTCTTTCTTGTAAATTTTTGCTATTTTTCCACTTCTCTCGATTACTTTTTAATTGGCATCAATAACTTGGTAGAGAAATTAAAGTAATTTCAATCTTACACAGTTCTTTCTACGGTAGATTTAACCCGATATATCGAGAGATCGTTCATGTTTTTCAACATTTTTATTGGATCTCCGTCTATCACTTTATCAAAACTCGTGAATAATAGTAGAGTGAATAACTCGACGTGAACGGATACAAGTGTACTCGTACACTAATGAGAATTTGAACACGATTCTCGAATTATCTAATTGAAATCGAAATTTCGTCAATTCAGATTCTCGGATGTCTCGTTAATAACTATTCGTGGCTCGAGGGTTGAAAAATTTTTTCCACAAATCGTTGGTGAATGATATTTGATCCTTTGACTTGAGATTAAAATTTCTTCGTCGAATTTAATTTTTTAATACTTCATTAAATATCAATATGTTTCGGACGCAAACAGTTTTCTTTTTTAAAAAAAAGAACTTCGATCAAAAAGGAGATTCTCTGTTCAGAGTTGGAGAGGATCGATAAACAGCAGGGTCGGTCGAGACGTTGAGAAAGGGGATAAACGTTGTAGATCACACGGGAGAGGAAGTTGATTTCGCTTTGTCTCGATTCTCTCCAACTCGACGCTTATTGCATAATTGAAGGATCCTGGTAAAAGGCCATTCATGGCTATGGATGCAACGTGGTATCGGCTCACGTGGAAATTATTCAACGAATAACCGCCACCACGATAATAATTCGGGGATGTGAAAACTTGGTAGATGGACCGTGGATTGAATTTTGAAACAGGGTTGATGAAAAATTGAGGGAGTTTTGGGCTGTGGAAAAAATTTTTTCGAGAACGGAAGAGGTGAATTTTGAAATGTTAAAATGTTTAAAAGGATTTCACGTTATCGTAGAGAAATATTTTGGAAGATTGAATTGATAATGATTTAAAATAATTTCATGTATGGAAAAAGTAATCTAAAACGATGATAGAAAATATTGGTAATAAAGGTTAGAACAATTGTGTGATTTTAAGGAATTAAAATATTGAGGGGGGGTTTAAAATTGATTTTAAAATGCGATAAAATAATTTTTCGTGACTTTCATCGTAAAAGAGATGGCGAGGGGGAAAGGTTAGAAATAGTTTCATGTGATAAAGAGAAAGGTTAAGGGGTTAGAGTAGTTTCATTCGAGGAATAATTTTATAACGACACGGGAAAATTAAAGGGACGAAGAGAAAATGGATGGGAAAAAAAAAAAATAAATAAATAAAAATATAAAACAAAGCATCGAAATATTAAAGTAGATTTTACGAAATAATAAAATGACGAGAAGAATTAATGCAGTTATACGTATGTCGAGAGGAAGGAACACGTAGGCGTTTGATATTACTTTGATTTAGAATTTATTTATAGTATATAAAGCATTGTGTATAAAGCAAGGTTATTTAACGCATTCAATATGGATATAGAATTCTTTTAATTCAATTTTTATTCAGCTCCACTCTTTTTAAATTACCCTTTATTTGTAATATTTTCCCCTTTACGTTCTTTGTAAGTTCCTTTTAAAGGTACACTTTGATCTGATTCAATGGACTACCTTATTAAAGAGTATCACACACGATCAATTATATATTGCATTTCCTTTCAACAGTGAAATTTCGTGAAATAACGTAGATGCAATCGATGAGTTCAATGGCAATCGTTAATCACGTCACATTAAAGTGCACTACTGCTATTCGGTTATAAACCTTCCTAAGGAACAGCGCGAACAAGGACATTATCGAGGTGTATTTATCAATACAAACGAGACATCGATGAATATTCCAAGCGTATAAAAATAAATCTCAATATTCAGAGATCAATCAAAACTATCTCCAATCCTGCGATCAAAGTATATTAATTGTTAATTCGATTTCTACTTTTTATAAAAATTCATACAATAGAAAGAGGAGAGGGAAATAATCTCGCGGTTATTCAAATCGAAGCGTTTCAAGGTGAAGGAAGATAAACGAATATTCGTATAAACGTTAACGTCGATACGCCGAGAGTTTGTCTGCATCCATGTAAATCCTTTTTGGTATATATATATATAGTTGCATTAAGATTCATGGGTCCGCCGTCAGATCCGATTTTGAAGAATCACCGAAGTGGAACGAATCGAGGTTTGCAAAAGTTTAAGTAGTAAACTTTCGATGCGGAACATGTCCGTGAAATCGTGGATAACACGATCGTGGGATCGCGAGGGAATAAAGATTCGACGTTTGTGGCTAGGAGTGGATAAAAATATATATCTGCAAACACAAGATTATTTTCAATTTTACCTGACTTCTCGCAATCTCCTTTTCTTTTAATCGCATTATTAAGAATAATGATAATCACAATTCCTAGCTCGTATAAATTTATTTCGTAGCGATATAGAAGTTACAATTTATTTCTACAACTTGTATAATGCCATCTCACATTTCAATAATCGATTCCACGTGTGGAAAATTTTCTAAACGTAAGAAACGAACGATCGAAATTTACTTCGTAATTACAAAATTCGCTCATCGTGCACGATTACCCGCGGTTAATTATCTTACACGGGCGATTATTAAAAGAATAAGCCGCGAGTGGGCGTGCAGGGCAGCGTGTATTGGCGCGGTGACTTTAGATACGATTAGCCGCCGAGCGGAAAAACAGGTAGCATTAATTATCATAGTCGACGTAAGCATTAGCTTCATTAGCATCAGACCTTGCATCGTAACGAGCCACCGGTTAGTCAAGTTCAATACTGTTCCAACGTTTCCACTTCGATAAAGAAGGATTTAAACGTGTGTTTATACGAATATATATCGTCTCTGCAATTGCGTGTGGAGGTAAAGTGTGCACGTGAAGTTTCGAGAGGGAGGGAGAAATAATTCTCTCTAAGAGTAAGTTTCGCTTATTCGTTCGCACTCCGTGCATATATATGTATATATATTTCTGCTATCGTTTTAAAACGCGATCAAAACGAGGTGATAACGAGGCCGCCAAACCGTTGTACATACATTCATAAATTATGAAACGTTCGACCTATCTCCGTCGACGTTTCGGATCTGGCACGTGTCGAGGATAATCGAGCAGAGGATAAAATTTTCTGAAGTGGGTCAGCGTGTCAAAGCTCCGCGAGGATGCTTTCGATATCGGGGTTTTTTTTTCATGTGTGTTAATCATTCATCGTTTTTAGTTTTATGTATTTTTAATCTCTCGAGATCACGCTTTAGAATTTTTTAACAAACGGTGTGCAAAAAATTTGGGGTTTGGACATTAGAAG